ATCGAAAACTGTTGTATTTCTTATCGAACTTTTTTTTTCTTTTTGAAATAGGATACTTTAGACCAAAAAAAAAACATGTAATTCTGGTCACTTCCATTTTAAGAATATTTCGACCGAAATTCGATCATTTGATAACGAAACAGTATGCTGACCTAAAATTTTCAGACTATATTTCTAAATGTTGACAGGTTAAGTATACAACAATTATTGTCAGTTTGCTAAGATTATTAAAATATCCTTACAATAGTAAGGTTGCGTAGATTTTTCATAAAGCGATATATTGTACTAATTCGATTCTTTCGTCACTTGGATTAATTTTAATTACGATCAATTATATGTCATAGATAATGAATTTCAGTGACTATAACAATATTAATAAATTTTGATTACATAATCCAAAACGAGGTACTGTATGATAGAGGTATACGAAACAACAATTAGTATTAAACTAAAATAATCGTCTGAAAAACAATCCTCTTGGTCATATCAAATAGAATATGAAGTTTGATGGCATACAAACGATTAAATATTATAGAATATAAGCTTAATTTAACATTCTCTAATATATTAAGTCAAATAGCAAGAACTTAACTGTCATACTTATGATAAATTTTCAGAATATGTCAAAATTGAAGATAAACTTCTTTATGATAAATATTTATCTTTGAAAAATTAGACAGGCAATATGTGAGATACATGAATATTGCAGTGATGAACTTATTCATTAACTTATACTGTTGCTTTTTTTTCAATAGTGTCAAATTCGTGTTCAGAATTTGTTATGTGAATAATCAGAAATATCTCGATGTTCAAAATAAGCAGATTAATTGATGAAATCGTCAGTAAACATGACTAATGACTTAAATATCATTGTCTTTAAGAGACAAATGAATCAGTTGAATGAATCTTATTATTTTTGTGTTAGAAAATTTCATATCTTTATTTCTAGCATTCCAAATGGTAAAAATTCAAGTATGATTGAGAACAGTAAGACAGAAATGGCTACTACAAGTATTAAAGACATTCTTGATGAAGCAATTCGATCAGGTAAATAAAGAAAAAACAATATTTGAAATAAGAACAAACTCACTATTATCTTTTGTTTAAATTAGATGAAAATAGTGATGAAGAAGATGATACTGATAATGATCATCTTGGTTCTGATCCAGATTTCAATAGTGAACATCGAGCAGTTAGTACAACGTTAGTTTTAATATTATTTTATCTTTTTTAATTATATGAAAAAACAATTATATTTTTATTTTATTTAAGTGTACGTCGTAAAAAAGATGCTTCATCATTGGTAATATATATATATATATATATGTTTTCTTTAAAAAATTTCTTATGATATTTTGTTTTTTTTCGCTTTTATTTAAATACAGAAACCAGTTGTGAATCATTTTCAAGTAAATGTATGTCCATTATCAAATAAATTGTATGGTATTGATTTAAATAAACATCCATTACGCCATGCACCATGTTCACGTAGTAACATATCATCAATTTATTTATTTACACATTTACGTGTTTTTCATTGTCTTAGTTCTAAAGCTTCATGTATGTGCAAAAAGATACAAAATAAAAACTTCTATGTTAAAGAAATATTGGTATTTTGTTTTTTTTTAGTACGTCTTATTCGTCATGTAATGTTTAATGGTTGTGAACGTGATTCTGATCTTTTTTCACAATCAACAGAGTCACTTGTAAATATTTTACCGAAATCTTTTCGCGGGCGTTGTCCATTAACAAAGTTAGGTGTATTCGGTTTAAATAAATTTCATGATATAAGATTATGTCAAGAAAATCAAACACATGAAAATACAGGTTTATTAAATCATTTTGTTGTTTATCATTGTCTTTCATATCCATGGGCTAATAAATTATGTAATGCAATGCAAGCAGGTGATAGTGATGGTAGTAAACAAATTTTATTTAAACCAAATGAACCAATAAAAGCTAAAAAATGGTTAACATCACAGGGAAAATTAATTCTTGCTAAACGTTATTCATCAGTACGAAAACGAAGAAAAAGATTAACAAATAAAAAAAGAAAAAAATAAATTATGTGTGTATATCTATTTTTTTAATTTAATCTATTGTTTTTATTTATGTATAACTCTATGTGTATGTTTGTTTTTTTTGTATGAAAATTATTTTAATGTTGTAGCATTATTTATTATTATAACATCAGATATATGTTTCATGGCTTTTGCTTGTTGATTTATTTTTTAATTTCAGTTACAGATATATCGTTTTTTTTCGATTATACCATCAACAAAAAAAACATCGTTGTAGAGCTTTTCATGTATAAATGTATGATTTATTGGTTTGAAAATGAAACTTTGAGAACTTAATTGATTATCATTTTCTGTCAATATTTAATATACATATATTTCATTGCTATGATGAAAGTTAACTTGAAGCTTTTACAAATATGTTTAATAGCGAATAAAAATGCTCTTTTTATTGAAGAGAAAAATAATTTTATATAAACAATATATTTCGTAAAAGATGTTTTTCTTGTAGAATTCGTATCATAATTTCATGTTGATTCAAAACTTTGTCATCAATTGATATTTGAATAAACTTTCTAAGAATTGTATGTTAGATATGATTGATGCTTTAATCCAATTTTGTTGTTAATCATGATATATTATATTGCATTGAAAAAGTATCAACAACTTGTTAATCATCTTTAACACTGTCATGTACAATAGTAGTGATAAATGATATCTTATATGTACAATAAATCCTATGTCAAAATGTCGAGATGATTAGAATTAAAATAGTCTTTTAATGATTTGTTTTTCATTATACTATGAATTGTGATAATTCATCAATGGATAACAATAGATAACTAAACATCTCTACTTCTTTTTTTTTATTCTTAGTATCAGCTATATAGAACAGTTTCTATATTGGATTGTATGATCTTTGTTATAGAACTTTTCAATTGATAAACAACATGGAATTTTTATTTCAAGTTGTTTAAAAATTCATAAGAATATGTTCTATTAATAAAAAAAGAAATAACAAATTTCAAATGTTTAAAAAGCTGTTAAGAGTAATTCTTTTTCTTGATTATAATTTTCATCTAGGATTATGATTATGAAGATAAATACGACATGATCCTGATAATGTCAAAATAAGCCGAAACAGAAGTAATGATCTCAGAATTGTAATTAGATATGCACTGACCCCAGTCGGATTAATACCTGAGCGAACTAACTGGCGTTCAGTCGAGCTAGTACTAAATCAGACTGATATCGAGAGAATTTAATGACTGATTTAATAAGTAACCTGTTGAACTGATACGCAGATGGATGAGTATCCATATGGCTCAATATTCAATCGAACTGGAACTGGTACATATCTAGCTGTAATGTGTAAACAAAAAAAAAGGAGCCATTTTAGTTTTTTTTTAATATTTTCTTTATGTTAGTTATCTTCATTAATATTGAACATGAATAAGATATTATATTCGGATATTCTATGTTTTATTTTTGAATAGTTATTCGAAACAAGGTCTACAATTTAGTTTTTACCTATGTGACAACGATCTGATATTACTTTGCAAATGTTAATTCAATTTAAAGATGGCAATAGATAATACTAAGCATTGTGCAATTAGAAAAAATATTTCTCATGCTTATGATCGATATATTTTAATAAAGTTTAACTGTTTCTGATAATATGAGTCTCCATGCCTAATATATTCTCACAAGAACCTTCTGTGCACTGGAAATACTTTTGGTGTTTTTCTCTCGCTTTTATCTGACTAAAGTTCTAACTAAATTTTTGACAAACCAAAGCTAGTTACATTTCATTTAGAATTAGTTCTTTCCTTTAAAAGCTAGTATTCTCTTGTGAAACGTGTTTATTAATGAAAAGAAACTAAGAGATTCATCGATAAATGTTAGTATCACTGCACATTTCATTGATGAATTAATAACATAATAAAAACATATATGTATTCAAATATTTAAAAATTTACCTGAGTGAGCAAGACTCATTTAACATAATGCATTGAAGAAAATCCAAATTAATTCGACTCAACTAAAATATCTTACTCAAACCAATATTTCGTTATTACAACGAGAAAGAATTTTTTTTTAATGCTGTCGTATCGCTTTTTTCAAATTTGCACATAGTGTAATCATGATAATCGTTCAGTTCTATTAAAACTATTGAAAGAAAAAGTACAACAACTTTATCATATTATTCAGAATTGATATAGTGTCGTGCATGACAAAATACAGTAATGATTTGCATTGTAAGCAACCAAATTTCGACCTTAATTACAATTATTGATGAGAAAATCTCTCGAAATGTCAAATCACTTTCAGATCAAGACGATGATCATTTAATAAGTATTAGTAAGCAATAGAAAAGTCTAGAATGGTTTGATTTTCTGGACCTTTGCTTTTGAGGTATCGAAAGTTTACTGGTTTTTTTTTAACAAAAGCTGCGGCCCCCTAAGGTCAAGTGCAAAATCAACTTTCAAGTTTCTGCTTCAAACTTTACACGAACAAAGTTTTCAATGAGATTAGTTCATTGAGCAAGTTGTGACTTTTCAATCAATAAATCCTGTCGAAATTGTTGCAAGAAGTATGTTTATCCGAGAGCAGATAGAAAAAACACTTCTGTTAACCACTTCTACTCTTTTTAAAATAGTTTTTTTATTTTCTGGTGAAGAATTGTTGATCTATATGAAGAATATTCAAGTAAAAATTTGTCGAATAGAATTCTTTATGGATAACATTAATCTATACTTTTTTTTTATCAGATCAGTATACAAAGTCCATTATAACTCGACGATATCAATAATAAGAAAAATGTTCATAAATAATAATTCCTATATAAAATAATAATGAGATATATTTATTAGCCATCAAATTCGTTCCTACTTTATGATATTTTTAATTTTTTCTAAAAACTTTATTTAAGATGAATTTATTTCAATATTTAAAATTAAACAAGTATACATTCACTCATTTTCATTTATTGTATTTGATTATCAAGTTTTTTTGTACATAAACAAGTATATATGCATTTTTAGTAACAATATCTTTATCACTATTGAGTTTTCTAACATATTGATCATCAAATAAATACCAATTTTTATCTTCATTATTTTTTGCATATGTTGTATAATGTCCAGACAGAAGACTACCTGTATGATTGGCAACAGCAATTAGATCATATTTTGTCGATGAACTATTTTCAAGTTTATTATTATTATTATCATCTTTTACTGTATACTCGTTAAGATCAAGTTCATAAAGAGGAAATCGAATATATGTATCAATTTTTTCATTTGAATTAGTATCATATATGAATCTTTTTAATTGTATAATCAGTACATGTGGTAATGGTAAACATAAATATGATTTATGTTGAGCTACCGTACGTTTTGAACATTTCAAACAATGATAATCACCATCGAGATAATCTTCACGAAAAAAATTAGTTAATAACTTGGCTAACATTGAGTTATCAGTTGAATGATTGATAATGCAGTGTTTTCTGTATATATCAACCCATTTAGTAGCCATTGTGATTCTTATGGCGGATATGTATGGCAAATTCTCATTTCTATTTGTTTCTACATTCAATTTAAATATTTTTTCTTGTCGATCTCTCCAGAATAGTTGAAAAGCAGAAGCTGGTGCATTAGTCATAGAACAAAGATGACCAAGAAGTTGATCAATTTGTTCTGATAGATGTAGATAACTACAGTTCTGATTTGGACAAATCAAAAGAATCGATGGACGGAATAATTCATTAGTAGAATGATCGACAAACTGACACTTAATATATTTTTCATTATCGGTCTTCTCCGGATGTTCCACAAAAGCAAGTTCTTCTTCACGTATGTTGCGAAGAGATTGCCTGGTTTCATATAAATCTGTGATGACATTATCGACTAATTGAACAGCTCGAATTCGTTCACTAGTTAATGTTGGTTCATGTTGTTTGATAAAACAATCAATTAAGTCTTTGAGAAAAAAGATAGATGAATTAACTTTTATAGAGACTAGACGTTGTTCACCATCAGTTTTAACATAAAGCACAGACTTTTGATTAGAATTCATCATAGATAATGGTAAAAAAGTAAAAGGTTCATTAGTTATTTCAGTTTGTTGACATCCAAGACATTTAACAGTTGATTGAAGTTGACCATAGAATAATTCTGTAATCACTGTTGTTTTCATTGAAAATTCAGCATGAATAAGATGTAAAAAATGATTCATAAATTCTTGTGCATCTTGTTGTCGATAACTAGAATAATGTGGTAAATTATCTTGAATATTATCAAGAAGTGATGATGGATTAATAGCATTATACTTTCCTGACCACATTTTTTTAACTAATTTTTTATATTCACTAATAATAGGTGCATTTATTTCATCATTTAACTCCAAAATTTTTATTATAAACTCAGGTATATTATTTAAACATTGAAAAACACTATTCATAAAACATGTACTGCCTAAATTAACGAGTCCACATAAGCTAGACGGATGTTTTGAATTGATTTCTTTGTCATCATAATCTATACTTATAAATGTAGACGATTCAAAATCTAAATCATCTAAAGTCTTCTCATCCAACTCAGATTCAAATTGCATCCATGAATCTTTATTCCATCGATAAATAGGTTGATTCTTCGCTAACTTATTGAATTTTTCATAGGCTTGTTTTCGTAATTTTCCAAGAGTAGACAAAGAATTAATGTTTAAATATATATAATCTGTTCTATCCATTGGCTTTTCACAGAGTTTTAAAAATAACTCACGACTATTGTTAGAAATTGAAGTTGAATTGAGAGGACGTCGATCTTTTGATACCTGCTGAGTATAATATTCAACAGTGAACACACAACCAGAACGTAATTTTAGTTGATTGATAGTGATGAAAGGATTCGAATCATCAATTTTTTTCCACTGATGATTGGTTTCGTCAAACACTTCCAAAAAGAATTCCTCTAATGGCAAGGTAATTTTTAAGTAGAGTGCTATTTTCTCTTTCAATCGGTTTAGAGTCTCAGATGACCAGATATCTGAGTGGGTACAATTCGTTGTATTGTGTTTCGTTCTGCGTACTTTGAATTTAAAAAGAGTTGTTTGAGATGGAAGATTTGCTGTTGATGGGCGAGGACTATTCTTATTATTTAATGAGTGACGATCATCTGATGTTAGATTAGCATGGGTTACAAAACGTTGAGCCATATAGACGACGTATGATTAAATATTAAAAAAATTTTTCACGCCAAAACCTATCGATAAATATATCTGAAAAGCTACAGAATGTTTTTTTTTGCTTCATAGAACTCTTTTTTTAAAACTATGATCAATAAGTGTGTTAGATATTCATAACCTTCGAGTTATTTGATTGTACTTACTGATTGTATGTAAATCATACTTTCGAAAATAGTTCGTTTCTACATTATGATTATTAATATCTATGATCAAAATAAAATATTAAACTTTACACTAAATCAACTTTACAAACTTACCAAGTACTTCTTTCTTCTTTTTTCGTTTTGAATAAAATGATTTGATAACAAATCAAACAAATTCATTATTAACATACATATATATTTGAAAAAAAAAATATTTAAAAAGTTTCTTATTTTTCTAATTGACATCAAGATATAGAAGTATTCGATTCTTCTAATTTTAAATATACAAGTATATATGCATTATTCGTAACAACAAAATCTTCATTGATTTTCTTTATATGATGATCATTAAATTCATACCATTGTTTCATTAATTTATTAATTGCTAGAGTTGTATAATGTCCACTAGCTAAACTTCCAATATGAGAAGATACAGCACATAATTGATATATATCATTATTTGATATTAAATTTTTATGTTGAAATTTATAACGAACAAATGTATCTATTTTTTGAAAAGTATTATCAAATGAAAATCGTTTTAATTGTATGACAAGAACATGAGGTAATGGTAAACATATATTTGTTTTTTGTTTTGCTTGTGTATATTGTTTACATGAATGACAATAATATAATCCATTTAAATTATTTTCTAAACAAAAATCATTAATTAAATTTTCAAGTAAAATTTCTTTATTATATAAAGTTTTTCGTGGTAATGAAAGTGGAAGAAATGTTGTTATTTCATTTGTAATATCAATGAAATTACATGTTGTACATGTAACTTGTGATTGTGTATAAATATGAAAAAGATTTGTAATAATCGATATTGAATTTGTTCTTTCAAGAGCATTTAAAAGAGAATTCATAAATTCATGTGAATCTTTTTGTACATAATCAATAAATATTGGAGCAGAACGACTAACTATTTCTTTAATATCTCGAGGATTAATTGTAGCATTTTCACCAGACCACATTAATTGTATTAAAGAAGTATATATATGAATAATATCTTTGTTTTCCATTGACGAAGACTTTTTTTGATCTAGAGCCCATTGAGTTAGTTCAGGTATATTACTTAAACATTGAAGAGCACTATTCATATAGCATGTATTACCAATATTTATCAAACCACATAAACCAGGAGTATATGGTGTTGATTTACTAGTATTTTGTGTTGTTGAAATTTTTTCATCGGAGAAAATTTTATTTGTATGGTTTATATGTGGTAGTATCAGTTTTTCGGTTTCATTCAACGATGTCAATGTCGATATTTGTTCTTCAATAAAGTCAAATTCTTTGTTGTGTTTATTCTTACTTACTGATTTTCTTTCCATTGACGTTGGTAATTGTTCTACTTTTGTCTTTCGTGGAACTGTAGTTCTCGGTACAATCGAAGGCGGAATCTGTTTATAAACATCTGAAATATTTGTTTTTGTTTATTATATATGTTAAGTAAAATTATCGAATATACTTACTGGGAAATGTTTCAGTAGTATTTCTTTGTGATAGAATAGTTGTTGGTCGTATCGTTGTTGTCTTTGCATACATAGAATCATTTTTTTTTGTAGAAAGAAGTAAAGATGTTGTTTGATGAAAAGACGTGTTTGTTCGATCGACTTTTACTAATGGTCGTGAATCTGATCGGTTTTCTTCTCTATTGATATTCTCTGAAACACTCTGTCGTTTTACTAATGTTTTTCTATTTGTAGTAGAATGGTTCATTTTCTGAAAAACAAATAATAAAAATAAAAACCAATATATTATGAAATACTATTATTTACTATGCAAATAAATCATAAGGCAGATTTATATTATCATTCTTGATGTTGTATAATTTTTTAATTAGTAAATTGTTCATAGATAGAAAAGGTATACCTTTTGTGTTTAAACTAAAAATAAAATGAATAAATTTAACTTTACAAATCATAGTTTTACTCTTTTGACAAATGGTTGACATATTCTTCGTACATAATACTTCATTGAAATATTCCAACAGAAAAAGAGAAATATCCAATAGTGTTGTTTTTCGTAACACGTGGTTTTTGTTTTTGTAAAAAAAGAAAAAAAAAAGGAAAGAGCAATGTTTGAATGCAAGATTTTTGTTTTTCTTTTACATATGTAATAATAAATGATTCGTCTAAAATAATGGTGAAAAGAATTTGTTTGCCTTTCGTTGTTCTCTATTGTTTACTAGTTACAAAGTCATTCTCTGAATGATGAAAATTTGTCTACTGATTAGAAGTGTCATTTTCCAGCTAGTTTAAATTATTGACACAGTATAATTTATTAAATTAAATGATTCTATTTCTCTCACAAACAACACTGTAATGCATCATTCACCACTCACTTTGCCTTGTCAATCTAGATTGTTGTACCCAGACGCTCACGTTGCTTTGTCTGGCGGTTAATAAAATCGGTGACTAGGGGCACGACATCTTGTCAATACTCTCAAAAACAACATGATAATACATCATTTACTACATTTCTTCGTTGTGTCAATCTCCACATTTCACACAGACACTCGTTACACCCAAGTTTAGTCGAAATCACGTCGAAGAGCAAGAAAACGATTAAGAATGGAAGTTTTGAACCAAAAGAAAAGTCTGAAAGAAAATTGTTCGTAGTTGGTGATCATGCTTTGGGACTGCTGCATTAATACATTTTGCGCTATGATATCTGTTTATGTAAATGCTACGTTTCTTGAACAGAGAAATACATTGAAGTCCGTTTTATCGAAAGATCATCCTATTGTGTGACCTCAGCGGACATCAAAGGATTCAGAGTTTCACGTTAAAGAGAATTTATCCTAGTAAGGCCGAAACAAGTTGTGCTTTTGAAAACATTGGGCCAATAGAATTGAAATTCAATTGTTGTTTCGATGGTCTTTGCGGGGCGCTCCCTTTTCGTCCTCGTTTTTTTTACGGACATCGGTTATAGATGGCCGTTGCGAAACCCAGTTGCTCTGAAATATACCGGATGTTCGGAATGAAAAATCCGGAAGATTGGAATAGAAAACACCGGATGTTAGGAGTAAAAGTCGTTCAGATGTTCGGAACGAAAAATACAGGATGTTCGGAACAAAAAATGACGGATGTTCGAAATAAAGAGTGACGGATGTTCGGAGCAGAAAAGAACCGATGTTCGTTATAATATAGTGTATTTTTTTTATTTTCTAACATAACCTTTTACAAAAACAATCATAAGATAACAAATAATTATTCAAGTTTTAATATGGCACACATATTAATAATAACAATTCTAATATATCACTTTCCTTGCACATAATGAAAAGAGAGAGAATAATTATCTTACATTAGAGAAAAAAAAATCATTATGTCTAATGTTTTTTTACTGCATGGCTCGATTTTTTCTTTTTTGGTGTTTGTTTCATATTGTTATCATCTATTTCTTTGTTCAACAACAATGTGCAACTTATGACCATTATGTGAATCAGCAAACCAATTCATTGTGTTACACGAATAATCGTCTCAGCCAATCATATTCGAGATGCTGGCTTCCGCAAAAAGCGAATCTTTATTTTACTACTCATTTACACTATCTATCTGTAAGATCTATCGCTCACTACTTAACTCTATACTACTTTAAAAAACTCTAACTGAATGTACAAGTGGTCGCTACACTCAAGGACTTAAAAGATACTATATGAATGAATCCTTTTCTATGTTAAAGAGCAGACACCAAAATTCATTCCGTACATCCGTCACTTTTTGCTCCGAACAGCCATCATTTTATGTTCCGAACATCCTGTATTTTTTGTTCCGAACATCGCGTATTTTTCGTTCCGAACACCTGCACGGTTTTCATTCCGAACATCCGGAAACACGATATTATGCTCTAAAGTCGATTCCGAACATCCGGACAAGTAACCGGATGTTCGGAAGAGCGAGGACGAAAAGGGATGTACGGAATCTGAATGGTTGGTCGTGGAACGATGTCACATCCTTATCTCATTTGCGTGGTATCAAATGTAGTAAATGAAATATATATGAACTATTTCAAAGTTCAAGAAAGCTAATGAAAGTTAGTAATCTCCTCCTCCCCCGACACACACATGTTAGAAGATTCCTTTTGGTGAATAATATGAAATTCATAATAGAAGACTCGGATCTTCTGAAAACTTTTCAAAAATATTCTAATTTCTTTTTTTAAATAATAATTAATGGATGATGTTTATTTGGAGAATAAAAGTTACGAACGAATAGAAAACCAAGTAATAGCTTATGGGTATATAACAGAAATTGAATTTTTCGAAAAAAAAGAGAATATCTATTTTCAGCTTGAATAATACGAGAGAAAAACAAGAACTAAATTATTGGTAAAAAAAGGATGACTAATATTATTTCGTCCACCATCCCGTTTTCTATTAGCAGTAATATACATTTACTGTATGGGTACAATCAAAAATAACAACATGTTTCAGTTCTCTGTGATGGCATGGATTCAAATTTTAATAATTAGGATAACCCTAAACATACTTCAAGTGTTTAAAATTACTTTAAACATCGATGAAATTGAAAATATACTACTGATAATGTCTATATCAATATAGCTCCAATTCGAATATGAAGAACACAATAAAAACTGATTTAACTTTGCAAAGACCCAATGCATCTCTATCATTATTTCCTCTAAGCTCATATAAAGCTGACTAATTAAATGAGTATATCAAGTAGTGTTTGTCCATAACTTCTATTGCAAATGTTATTTTTCATGAAAAACTTCATGAAACGTAAACGGCGTCAACCAAGAGTGAAAGAAAAACTTGATGTTATTGCACTCTTTGATGAAATGCGAAGTAAATGTGAAACATGAAATAAAGAAAGATAGACAACGACTATATTACGATATAAAATCTATTTTAAATTTATCGAAACAAGTAAAGGATTCGATTACTTTTTTTGAGAACATTTATTTATGACAAAAGCTCGAATAAAAATGATATTTTCCATGTTTTACAAAGAATTATAGATAATATCTTGTACGATATCGGTAGATACGTATGCCAATATGATGATGAAGAGCAATATTCAATTGTAAATAATTTATCTTGAAATACGCGTTTTATTTTCCTAATGAATTCCAATACTTTATCAATATGCTTTTTTGAACTTAACAAAGTAATTTCTTTCACAATAAATTATAAAAGTAAATGGAAAAATTTTTTAAAAATAATTAAAAGCAAACGATGACCGAAAAAAAGAGAAGAACTTAGATTAACTTAATGTCATTATCGATAAAAACTTAGTTTATATTATTTGGTGAAAAAGTAAAATTTATTTGTAATTCATCATTTGTTTTCATGGAATTACTATCTTACGTTTTATTTGAAGCGTAATCAGAGTTAACAAAGGAAAAATTTATAAAGATACTCCACCGTTTTACGCGTAAACCCCCCCTCACAATAAAAGATCCCAGGGTCTTCTATTATGTTTAAGCGGAAACATTTTTTAGGCGGGTCTTGTATTATGATTCTCGTATTTTTGCGATTTTTTGCGAAACTTACGAGTGTTTTCGAAGAATTTAGTAAATGTACTTAGGGTTATCCAAAAGTAGTGGGCCAGGTTCTTTTTTTTCTTATAAATAGGTAAAAAGAAATTTCTTTTTTTACGAATAGATAGAGCGTCTTTCGCTCTATCTTTCTATGCTATTTGATCACTATTCAACTGGTATCATAATAATAAAATTTCGATAAGAACTTTTTTTGTGTAACTCCAGCTGGTAGCAATAGTGCATATTATCATCCATGCGTGTTTTCTTTGTTTTTTTCTCATCATCTAATAGGTTTTATTAAAAAACAAAATACAGCACAAGATGCAGCGTAAAAAGCTCTACAATTTACATACGACCACTTTTTTTATAGTTGCACTTTTTGTTTTCAAATTAGACAAAACTTTGAGCGACCAAATTTTGACCGTGCGAAAATTGGTAGCACAGAATTTTGCTTTTTTTGAAAACAATTACAATAAGCTTTACTATGTAAATTGTAGAGCTTTTCACGCTGCATCTTGTGGTATATCTCGTTTTTAATAAAACGCATTAGATGATAAAAATATGAAATAAGAAAAAAGGCATTTCTCTTTTGTGTAGAAAAAAATGATTTTTTTGCGACGGCGAAAACTGGTCGCACAGAATTTTGCTTTTTTTGAAAACAAAAAGTACACAATTAAAATAAACTGTTTTTTGTAAATTGTAGAGCTTTTCACGCTGCACCTTGTGCTGTATTTTGTTTTTTAATAAAACCTATTAGATGATGAGAAAAAAACAAAGAAAACACGCATGGATGATAATATGCACTATTGCTACCAGCTAGAGTTGCACTAAAAATGTTTTTGTCGGAATTTTATTATTATGATACCAGTTGAATAGTGATCAAATAGCATAGAAAGATAGAGCGAAAGACGCTCTATCTATTCGTAAAAAAATAAATCTCTTTTTAGCTATTTATAAGAAAAAAAAGAACCTGGTCCACTACTTTTGGATAACCCTAAGTATATTTAAGTTCAGGCTCTACGGCTTCTCAGCTTCTATAATAGTAACCAGATGCTGGGAAAAACATCACTATATCTTTCTACATCAACAAACAATAGGGGATAATGAATATCAGAGGCTATATTATTTGAAAATTCTGTAATTTCTAGTTTTTGTTCTAAATATTATGTTTTTAAGCTTTGTATAGCTCACATATATTTACGAAGAAACTAATAGCAACCGTAAGTTTGAGTCAAGGTTTTTCAGCTTGTTCCCTTTTCCCGATTAGATGTCGTAGTAATCACTTAGATTTAAAAGGTTGTGAAAACTTCTAGAATATTTTGATTATCAATAGTTCGAATATTATTATGAGCATTAGCAAAAGGTTAGCCTCCTCTTTTTGCGCAGACAAAAGTTTGTACGATCCATGAGAAAGACAATCTTTTGTGATTTTTCATAACTGTAGTATAAGTTACATAAAAGCGTGATCAAACTACTTGCTAACTTTTAGAAATATTTATTTTGTGTCTTGCTCTGTACATTACCCATGTAAAAAAAATGATTTCAAAAATCGATTAAAATCATACAATTTTTAATCAATAATTCAGCAGTAATAATCATGGCAAAATCAGATTTTAATCGGCTGTTATGATTATAATCGATTTAGAATATTTTCAAAAATCGATTATAATCATAATAATCGAAATAGTCGATTAAAATCTGATTTTGACCTCTCTAAAACTGGTTTTTTTCGCATTTTTTTACATGGATAATATGCATACAAGTTTGTTAGGATCTGGCGAAGATACAACCAATGTCTATACTAAGCTTATTTAACTATTAAATTAAAGCTTGAATCGAATAATACGAAATAATTATAATCTCGATTAACAGAAGAATAACACAGCGAAGAGCGACAAGAAAAAAAGCACGTATTAGGAAAAAAATGTTTGAAATGTACAAATAGAAACTGCTATAAATTAATCACTATGATCAATGTTTCTTTAGAAATTTAACATTCTGCGTTGGTATTATTAATATTATAAATATATTCAAGAAATCTGATAAGTGGAGCGAAGGGAGATATAGTAATTCGAAATGAAATAGTTTTGTTGGGATAAAGTTTTACAGCGTATGCTTTAATTCAAACAATAGAATTAGTTGTAACCTATCCGTTTATTTGATATCTTTTGAAAATAAACTTTTCCATCCATTTTTGAGAATATAATATAAATTTGTAGCAGTCTGAGTCTCATGAGTACTACACTTTGGCTCCGTAGCAGCTACGCTGATATGTTTTTGTAACTAAAAGGGCCCTCTGAGAGAACCGAAGCGATTTTGAAAATTGGAGGAAGGATTTTCACGATTTTCGAAGCTTATATATAGAGTTGAACTCATGGATTTGAAAATTTTCAGCTGAAAACCCCAGAAATAGACACGTTTCGGGATAAAAAACTAATGAAAATCTTCAGTTCTCAAAAAAAAATCTTAAAAAAATGGGGGGGGGGGGTCTTCTATTACGTGGGACAACATTTTTTCCCAAAGGGATCTTCTATTATGGAAGGGTCTTGTAATATGGGGCAGTCTTCAATTAGGGAGGGGAGTTTAGAAAATTGCACTAGACGATCACTTATAATAGAAAACTCCTTTTAAAACTTTGTTCACAAAACGCTGCTTTAGAAGACTCGAGGCGTTTTATTGCGTGGGGAAAGAGGGAGTCATTTTTATATATTTAGCTATGCTGTTAAAAACAAAGATATTTCTCGAGAAAGCGATGAAACTGCCAAATCTCACAACGTTCTGCCACCGTCTCACTACCACAATACTTAGTACTATCCTGCAGCAAAACGGTGTGCCAACACAGCTCGTCTATCAATGGCTCAATTTTATTTATTATTCATCATTACGTAGCTTTTTGTTAAAATCAAAAAGAACTACTATAATCCCAGTTTTCTTTTCAGAATGCAGTTCTAGAAATTGTGATTTAATAGTAAAACAAGAGAAAGTGATTTTAGATACGGTTGCATTGTACTAACTATTAGAAAACAGTATAATAACCTCTGCGATTATGGAAAATGATTTATTGAGATATTACTATGAAAGACAATCTGTTCTCTGTAATCATTTTAAAAAAATTCCCAAATGAGATAGACTTAAACAAGCTTTTTTTCATTTTGTTTTTTTTAGAGGCGGAGAAAAGGAGAAGAATGTGATTAGCCTCTTCTCCTTGGCACCATTACTAGAGAAAAAAAGGTAAAAGTTCATTTACAGCAATTTAATGAGATTGATAGGTCGTCTAGTATCCATAACACAGTAATCACTATGAAAATGTCACAAAACTACAGTTGTACCCAAATTTAATATTAAAGTTTTTATATAATGATCATAAAAAACACTCGCGAGTAATTATATGCACATGATCTCATCATCAGTTTGTATATTGTATACGATAAATTAAACATGCAGAAGCAAAAAAAAAACAGTATTCGAATATCGGATTCTGTATAGAATTTCCAAGAAAGAAAAATCCATAGCGCAAAATATTAAATTATCTTCATCAACAATATAGTGTCAACAATTGAATACCGTAATAATAATCATCTATTTTTAACTACGAATTGATATATACGTATATGACATCTATCGTTCACTTTCCTCCGAAAGATTATTTTAACCATCCAATTCAATTAAATAGTTAACATCAAGTTCTCAATGAGTCTATCAAATTCAGGAGAACATTTTTTACTATCAATATTCTTTTCTCTTTCTCAAAATAGGCAAATCTTAATATTAACTTTAATATTTTAGATTAACAAATGTTATTCATTAAAAATATTTATTCGATTTATCGATTCCAACGTGTATTATCTATTTACCAGAAAAATAACACGAAATTTTCAAATTCGTCATCAATAAAATTAAATTTAACATTACAAAAACTTTTTGGTTCCAAACAATACAAAGAAGCTTTTGAAATTGTCGATCAAAATTTTGATATATGTACAGATATTACAATTAATATGGCCATAAAAGCTTGTGCTATATCAAAAGATTATACACGTGGTATTAATATTCATCGAAAGCTCTCATCACATTCAATTAATAATTCTTATATTCAAGCATCATTAATTCAGCTTTATAGTAAGCCATTTATTTTATTAATCACAATAATACTATATAATAAAGCAAATATATGAATATTCTAATGGATGAGAATATTCAATTTTAATGAAAAAATTTCGTTTTTTACATCTCGTAGCAATAAGATTTACGTAATTATAGATTTCATTTGAATAAATGAAACATCTTCAACCGCTCAAATCGATCAAAAAAAACTTATTGTTTCCATTCCAATAGAAAAATAATATTCTTTCATATTATTTTCACTTAAACTGCTGAAAATCATTAATTATAAAATATGTCAAAAGTCCCTGGAGATCTTGAATTAGATTTCAGACTGATTTTATGTCATGAGGCAAACATAATAAAAAACAAACATCATAGACAGGAGAGAATGCAATATTTTTTGATTATTTATGTTAAACATTCAACAAGAACATAATCATATCCTGAGCAATTAATATTAGTTAGCAAAGCTACGATATCCACACTAAGGAAAACTATTGCACTTGCACTTCTAGTTAAGCGATAGAATCTCGTTTGATACCTGTAGCATTCGAGGTAATACATATAGTATGACATCTCTCGTATTAACTTGAAATATTTATACTCTGTAAAAAAGATGCAAGTATTTCTCTCAAATTAGAAGTTTACGTAGCAAGTACTCTTGCTAAAGTTGAATAATAAGCACAAAGTACATCGGATAAATATCTACATTTGTAGTTTTATTAAACGAAAGAAAGAGATACGAAAAGTTGAAGTAAATCGTCGAGAGGATTAGAAGTCTCTCCTCTCGCACTTTCTATTGTCAGAAAATCAACTTTTAAAATTAATATCTGCGCCTTATCGACTTTCCTTACACGCTCAAACTTATACTAAAATCTAAGTTCAGTATAGACAGTATCGTGCTGCTCATTAGAACGAAAAGTCAGTTCAAAGTTATAGAAATCTTGAGACGTAGCTAATAAAAAATATTTGTCAATTCAAGAATGAATTTCTTCAACGAGATAATATCGTGTAATCATTTTAATTATCGTTCGAAGCTTACTCTGAAACAATTCTTGTTGCTCTTTATACGAAAAAAAACTCTTGTAGTCGCCAGATATAATAGACATATTGTACATTCGAGCGTGAAATATACAAAAAAATTTTTGTAGAAGGATAAAATATTAGGTAAATTTCCGTTGTATATCAATTAAAATATCTCTGTAACATTAACTTTATTATAGAAATTCAGAAAAATTTTTATCACAAATCAATCTTTGATAATACAAGAAAAATTAAATTCATATGTTTACATCAAGATTTTATTCAATGAATAGTTCTTATTAGTTAGAGAATGTATTTCTTTGTTCAATCGTATATAAAGAAATTTTTTGAAAAATTCAAAAGAAAATACAGAATGTATATTCAATTGTGGATTTTCTATAAACTACTCACTAACCACCTTAAATAAGTTTAATAAGAATAAAACTTTTTGTCTTTATTTTTAGTTATTCAATTTTTGAAAAGCTATAATATTGTTAGTGGCACATTTTATTCTTGAGAAAAAAAAAGAATGCCATTACATATTGTATCAAGACATTGCGAGACATTGATTGTATTCTTCTAAGGACACTTAATACCAATGACAATTTTCCCTTCTTCGCAGAAAAATGTGTCTGTCTTTTTAGTTGTTCGAATGTAAAATAAAGTCATTTCCTAATGATGCATTAGGCAAAAATGTCTTGAAGGTGAAGTTTGGCGAGATTAGCAAAACTAATTATTTTGATAGGCATAATAGAAGACCTCAGGTAACTTATGAACGATAAGATAGATAACAAGACCTAAGATCTTCTAATATGGTTGATGGCTATGCAAATAGTTTCTTACGAAGTCCAATACTTAATGCAAACTTATATCGATCATGTTGTTATTATTTTTAGTGCAATGTGGTGATATTGTCAATGCAATTCGTCTATTCTCAACAATTACAAACAAATCCAACTATATCTGCACAGTTATGTTCAAAGGTTAGTATTTCTTTCGATTTTTACTTATGACATTGTTGTTTTAAATAGATCTTATCTCTAATAACATGCCCGAAAAAGTGCTCGATTTATTTGATGAAATCACAATCGAACCTGATAAGTATACTGTCACTGTTCTATTTAATGCCTGTGCTAAACTTGCCAATGATCGAGCAATGAAAATTGGAAAAAAACTTCTTGAGAAAATGCCTCCAAATTTTCGAAATGAAGATGTTCTATTAATTTCAGCAATGCATATGTTAATAAGATTTGGTGATATTCAAAATGCTGAAAATCTTTTTCCATCAATTAAAAATAAAAGTATTATTACTTATGCTACTATGATGAAGGGTAACACTATTAAACAGATTTTAGAATATTTGTAAGCTTCTATTTTAGCATATGTCCAAAATCAAATGTCAGAAAAAGCTTTGGATTTATTTGAACAAATTGAATTAAACTTAAATAATGCTGCTTATAATATTGTTTTTAATGCCTGTGCTGAACTTGCCAATGATCGAGCAATGAAAATAGGGAAAAAGCTTCTTGATGAAATGCCCGAAAATCTTCGAAATGATAATTTTGTATTAACTTCAGCAATACATATGTTAATGAAATTTGGCGACATTCAAAGTGCTCAAAAGCTTTTTCAATCAATTCAAAAAAAAGATATTGTTACTTATGGTGCTATGATGAAGGGTGAAGTGTATTATATAGATTTTGGAATATTTCTAAGTTTCTTTTTTAGGATATGTCAGAAATCAAATGCCTGAAAAAGCTTTAGATTTATTTGAACAAATTGAATTAGACTTAAATAATGTTGTTTATACTATTGTTTTTGCTGCCTGTGCTGAACTTGCCAACGATCGAGCAATGAAAATAGGAAAAAAAATTCTGAATAAAATTCCTAAAAATTTTCGAAATGATAATGTTGTATTAACTTCAGCAATACATATGTTAATGAAATTCGGTGATATTCAAAATGCTGAAATTATTTTTCAATCAATTAAAAATAAAAATATTATTACTTATGGTGCTATGATGAAAGGTAAAGTGTATTAAACAGACTTTTGGATATTTGTAAGATAGAATTTCAGGGTATGTCGAAAACGAAATGGCTGAAAAAGCTTTGGATTTATTTGAACAAATGGAATTAAACTTAAATAATGTTGCTTATAATATTCTTTTTAATACCTGCGCCGAAGTTGCTAATGATCGAGCAATGAAAATAGGGAAAAAGCTTCTTGATGAAATGCCCGAAAATCTTCGAAATGATAATGTTGTATTGAATTCAGTAATACATATGTTAATAAAATTTGGTGATATTCAAAATGCTGAAAATGTTTTTCAATCAATTAAAAAGAAAGATATTATTACTTATGGTACTATGATGAAGGGTAACACTATATTAAACAAATTTTGGAATATATTTAAGCTTCTATTTTAGGATACATCGAAAATCAAATGTCAGAAAAAGTTTTGGATTTATTTGAACAAATGGAATTAAACTTAAATAATTTTGCTTATACTTTTGTTTTTAATGCCTGTACTGAACTTGCCAATGATCGAGCAATGAAAATAGGAAGAAAGCTTCTTGATGAAATGCCTGAAAAGCTTCGAAATGATAATGTTGTATTAAATTCAGTAATACATATGTTAATAAAATTTGATGATATTCAAAATGCTGAAAATGTTTTTCAATCAATTAAAAAGAAAGATATTATTACTTATGGTACTATGATGAAGGGTAACACTATATAAAACAGATTTTGGAATATTTTTAAGCTTCTATTTTAGGATACATCGAAAATCAAATGCCAGAAAAAGCTTTGGATTTATTTGAACAAATTGAATTAAACTTAAATAATTTTGCTTATACTATTGTTTTTAATGCCTGTGCTGAACTTGCCAATGATCGAGCAATGAAAATAGGAAGAAAGCTTCTTGATGAAATGCCCGAAAATCTTCGAAATGATAATGTTGTATTGAATTCAGCAATACATATGTTAATGAAATTTGGTGATATTCAAAATGCTGAAAATGTTTTTCAATCAATCAAAAAGAAAGATACTAGTACTTATGGTGCTTTAATGAATGGTTACAATATGAATGGTTTATCAAGGAAATGCTTTAAAATCTTGGAAGAAATGCTTGAAGAAAATATTTTTCCCGATGAGATCATATGGAATATACTTATCGGTGCATGTTCAAAAATTCGTTTGCTTCGTCGTTGTCAATATATTATTAATCAGATTCCTCTTGAAATTCAGAATAAAAAACCAATACAAATTTCGTTAATTCATATGTGGGTAAGTATCGATTGTTGATTTTTACCAACTATTTTATTATTTTGATTAATATTATTTGTTTTCTGTAACTCAGATATGTTTTTTAAAGGAAAAATAGTTAGCGTAAGTTTTAAGTCGAAGGCTCACTTTGTACCTGCCTCTCTCCATTACATAACATACCAAGACTTGTTCATGTTACAGAGACTCTGTTTGAAAGACTTTGGCAATTAAAATCAAATAATAGATATTCTATAACAAGATTATTTATCAGTTAGGCCGATGATTATAATTGTTTAGGATAATAAAGCCAAAGCAAATATATGAGTTGTAGTATATTTTCGACCCAATAGAGCCTTGATTAAAAGGGTCTTTTTTCTTTAAAAGGGTAAATGTGCTTCAATTGAAAAAGCACAAAATGTATTTCAATCAATTGTTGATCGTGATACAATGACATATACTGTAATGAGTAATTATATTTACTTTTATTCATATTGGTTTGTTTAAAATATTAGAAAATTTTCTTTTGAAGTTAATGCATTCGGTCTCAATGGAATGGGTTCTGAAGCTATTGAATTATATAGAAAAATGCCGAATAATCTACGTAATGAAATTTCACATATTTGTGTTTTAAATGCATGTTCTCATTCGGGTCTTCTTCAAGAAGCTTGGAGTATTTTTAATGATATTCCTTTAAAAACAGAGAAAATGTATACTACTATGGTTTGTTCTTATTAATTTAATTATTATCTAAAACTAATTAATATTTCATATTATATATTTAAGGTTGATTGTTTAAGTCGTTTATTTCTATTTGATGAAGCACAAAATTTAATCAATGAATATGAAAAAACAAACAAACCAAGTTTAGTCATGTATGGTTAGTATTTTTTTTTATAGTGTAATATTGATGTTTTGTTTATTGATTTACTTTTATTTTAGTATCGTTATTATCTGGTACACGTAATAATCGAAATCGTAATTTATCTGAGAACATATATAATCGAATGAAATGTTTGTTTCCTAATGAAAAGCAAGATCTTACGTCAGGAGCAATTCTTATTTCAAATATATATTCATCAGTGGGAGAACATGAACTAGCAAAAACTTTCCGATATAATCAAATAAAAGAATTAGGAACAAATGTCAAACTAGGATTAACATGGACGGAAGTAAATGGTCAACTAGTGGTAAAAAAATCTTTATTAGATAAATAAAGAAAATATATTATTTCATATAGGAATTCACAGCTCATGATCGTTCTCATCCAAAATCATCAAAAATTTTTTCTGAACTTCAACGTTTAACATCTGAAGCAATTGCATATGGTTATGAATGTGATCCTTCATGGGTAACTCGTCAATTAAAAGAAGGAGAAACAAATTTATCGGTTCTTTGTGGTCACAGTGAAAGAATCGCAATTGCTTATAATTTTGTTGAAGAACCAGACACGAAATTTATTCAAGTAACTAAAAATCTTCGTATATGTGGTGATTGTCGTAAGTTAACTTGTTCTTTTTTCATTTTGATCATTTTCAATAATGTATGATTTTCGTTTTTATATAAGATCAAATGACAAAAATAATAGCAAAAATCCGACAATGTCATATTATTGTTGGTGATGCTAACCGCATACATCATTTTAATCCAAATGGACAATGTTCCTGCCAAGATCATTTTTGAATATTTTCAAATAAATTTATTCTTTAGAAAAATGTTTTTGTTTAAAATTATTGATCTTTTTCTGGTAGATTTTATTAATTAACACAGCAAAACTTATTCTTTTACACTTAGTTATTCTATTGGAGAAATCTTTTCTTTTTCCTGAAATCCAATAATTTGTGGTAACTAACGCATTTTAAATTCGATATTGAATGTATAGAATTTCTCATAGAACGATAGAATTACAGTTTTCTCTATACATCTACGATATTTTAAAGATTTTGAATAGTATTATTGACGAGGAATTTTGGCTTTGAAAATCGAAGACATGATTTATATATTATAGAAGAGCATTTTTCAAGCAATAACAATTTTCATAGAATATTTCTTGTTATTATCGAATATAGAGTTGAATTCTAAATAAAATGATATAGTTTTCAAATGGAACTGCTACAAGATTTTGAATCCGAAAAGACAAAATTGATATCAATTTATAGTGAAAAAATAATCTTCTATATTTGTTGTGACAGATGTTTTTATTGAAATTTTTGTACTTTCATCAACAAATCTAGAATTATACAGAGAATCATCTGTTTCTTATTTGGTCCTATTGTCTCTATCACCAGCTCAAGTTCAATCCATATATTCAACGTTCGAAGCATCAAATTAGCTTTCAATATGACTACTTTGATATAGGCATGGTTTTTGTTAAATCTACCATTCTTGGAACTCTTTGATATTGTTGGGAATTCGAATTGACATTGCATATAGAATAGAAACAGAATTTCTAGTGTCATTGTCGAAGGCGATATTCCATACCTCTGTACTTCTAAAGTATGAAGACGTTTAGTGAAGTATAGAAATGTTCACAGAAAGATGAGACAGTTTTTGTTAGCTTAAGGTATTTATTAAAAAGTAAAAATAAAGAAAGTCATAAGAAGTATATAGCATAAAATAATTCGTTGTCAGTTACAGAAATACGGAAATATATGTCATTAAAACTCTATTTTGTTTAAGTTTTTTCTATTTCTTATCAATGATCGATTATTTCAATTCATTTTATATGTCACTTTTATATTGCCTGCTTAATTATCATGCACTGATATTGTTATTTTTATCACACTTGAAATAAGCACCATTTTTCTCCTTGAACACATTAGTGGAAAAAGAAACAATAATAGTAAAAAGAGAACTGGCACTTCGTCTTCTACTATAAGTTCTGATTTCATTATTGTTTTTGAAATGAAAATCTATATTAGAAAGACAAACTGACTGAATTTCTCTTTTATTGCGTGCATAAAAGAAATTCTCAGAACTGCATAAAAATATGTATGTCGAAGAGTATGTTTTTCCCATCCTCCCTTGAGAAAACTCCTGAGACTAGAGTGTGGGTGTGAACAAAATAAGAATGTGGCATCCGTACACCCACGGCCACACCCGCATTCACACCTACACCCATATCCACCCTAAAGATTGACTTTACTCTGTGCAAAGAAACGAGTATGTGTCGCAGCTCTTCAGAAGGCGCTACGTGCTCCCACGCCACGACGCAGATATAAAAGATCAGTTACACGGACAATTTTTAAAGAATTTTTGAGTAATTAAATTCAACATTCAAGCTTTACAAGTGTGATAGACTTCAATGTTTTGAATGAACATATGAATAAGGGGGGCGCTCCCTTTTCGTCCTCGTTTTTTTTACGGATATCGGTCATAGATGACCGTTGCGAAACCCAATTGCTCTGAAATATACCGGATGTTCGGAACAAAAAATGACGGATGTTCGGAATAAAAAGTGACGGATGTTCGGAATGAAAACTACAGATGTACGTAATAGCGGGTGGCGGATGTTCGTAACAAAATACTCCGGATGTTCGGAGCAGAAAAGAACCGATGTTCGTTATAATACAGATTATTTTTTTTATGTTCTAACATAACCTTTTACAAAAACAATCATAAGATAACAAATAATTATTCAAGTTTTAATATGGCACACATATTAATAATAACAATTCTAATATATCACTTTCCTTGCACATAATGAAAAGAGAGAGAATAATTATCTTATATTAGAGAAAAAAAAAATCATTATGTCTAATGTTTTTTTACTGCATGGCTCGATTTTTTCTTTTTTGGTGTTTGTTTCATATTGTTATCATCTATTTCTTTGTTCAACAACAATGTGCAACTTATGACCATTATGTGAATCAGCAAACCAATTCATTGTGTTACACGAATAATCGTCTCAGCCAATCATATTCGAGATGCTGGCTTCCGCAAAAAGCGAATCTTTATTTTTACTACTCATTTACACTATCTATCTGTAAGATCTATCGCTCACTACTGAACTCTATACTACTTTAAAAAACTCTAACTGAATGTACAAGTGGTCGCTACACTCAAGGACTTAAAAGATATTATATGAATGAATCCTTTTCTATGTTAAAGAACAGACACCAAAATTCATTCCGTACATCCGTCACTTTTTGCTCCGAACAGCCATCATTTTATGTTCCGAACATCCTGTATTTTTTGTTCCGAACATCGCGTATTTTTCGTTCCGAACACCTGCACGGTTTTCATTTCGAACATCCGGAAACACGATATTATGCTCTAAAGTCGATTCCGAACATCCGGACAAGTAACCGGATGTTCGGAAGAGCGAGGACGAAAAGGGATGCACCCGTCTTTGCAGAATTCTACTGAAAGATAAGGACAGATATGCAGAGAACGATCTACAATCATCAAAAACGAAAAATAGAAAATTTCCATTACTGACTTTTGACAATTGCCAAAAATCTGCTGTCAAAATTGCTACGGTGAACCTACTTTTATCCTCAAAAACAAAAATGATATGGCTTATTTTGACTGACATAAAAGATGGATGGTGGAAAAACATTTTATCAAGAAGATTGCGTACAAATGTTTATGCATGTTCTTCAACTTTACTTAATGTTCTCATGAATTCATTTCATCGGACCAATAGTGAATAGTGATTGTTGGCAGTAGACGCAATAGAGATGAAAAACGACAGAAGATTTTGTCCGCAAAGAGATAGAAAAAACTTAAAAATCACTGATGAACATTGAACGGAAGGACACATCAATCGAAGAACACTTGTATTAAGAAATAAAATGATAGAATATTTTTCAAGATTTTGTTATTAATACAACCTGATTTTCATTGTATAATTTGTGCATACTAGAAAAGATTAAGTATATATAACAATTGGTAATATTTTAAATTGACTTTTAGTTCTTCTCACATTAATTACTAATAGACATTTAAAACCACATTCAGTTGACACATATACTATTGAGAAATTCAATTTTTATATGAAATAAACGCAGAAATTTCTCACTTCAAAGAAATCGTCTTTATAGTATATCTATTTTGATAAAGTTTAATTAAGACTTGTTTTAGTTTTAAAATTTTATTTTTATACGTATGAGTAGATATAAAAAAGATAAGGGTTGATCATTCATACATTTTTTCTTGAAGAAAATAACAATTTCAACTTATGAAAGAAATTGAAGCTATTATTAAAAATGGTACCAATTTAATTTATTGTTTTTTTTTCGAGCGGGAAAGAATTTTATATTATTCTATTGGGTATATTTCGTTGAATTTCCAATAAATTCTCTTCTATATATATATTTTATTTTTTCTATCAATTTATCAACTGATGAAATAAGTTGGGGTGGGTGTTTTTTAAAATGAATAATATAATTATAATAAAAATAGACAATTTAGACAACATATATTTGATATGACTAAGTTAGAATCGCAAGTATTTTTCAAATGGTTACCTATTGTTATTATTCCTTTGTTAATCATTATTATTCTCGGTTTATCTTATTGGATTTTTTCTCGTCGACGACGACGAAACGATCAAAATTCAAATAATAAAAAATTAGAAAAAGAATTTATAATTACAGAATCTATTCATCAAACAATGGTTCCAAAAAATGAATATTTATCATCTCCAATTCAAATTTTAACAAAAAAATCTTGGTCAAAAAATTCAACAGAATTTACTAATGCTGATATAACTCATCTTGATAAACTTTTTCGTACGGCAAGTGATCGATTAATGTGGAAACAAGATTATTTAACAAAAGATCAACATAATAAACTACGAAAAGTACCTTCTGGACAAACTCAACAAAAAACTTTATTTTCCAATTAAACATATTTTTTTTTCAACATAATGTCTTTAATTATATGTACAAATTAAGAAGTATGTGTAAGTAAATGTTGCTTAAGTTTAGGCATTGTTGTAAATTTATTTGAACATCGATGACATTGTAATTCATTATCAAGAAGTTTGTGCATTCTTGTTGTATCAACATGAATAGAACCATTTGCTTGTAAATCATCAATAACTTGACTTGCATCAAGAAAATAATCACTTGTAAAAGAATTCCAATGTTTTTTCTTAGAAAAAAGAAAGAAAGAAAGAAAGAATAGATTTATATATTAATAAATACATATTTACAGTGATTCCAAAAAATTATTCGATAAGATTTATTTTCAATTTTTTCCTATTACTATAAATGCTTCCAATAGCGATTTGTATAGAGACTTCTATTTCTAACAAGAAGTTTTGAAGATGAAAAACGATTGCTAGTGTCCAAAGAGAATTGGGCAATTCACATTGATGGAACAAATAATTCTCTACAAAATGAAATATCTTTCAGCTCTCTACGGTATCTTAGACCAAGATACATCAATCTTATGGAAGGTACAGAAATGATATCTCTTGACGAAATGAGTTGGAATCCGCTATTGGAATTCTTATTAGCAGTGGAAAAAATTAAACATAAACCTAGTGGAACAATTTGAATAGTCACTATATATATATATACATACTGTTTTTAAACTATCTGATATAAAATCTTGACTGATGACATGCATATGAAGAAGTGACATTGATGGAATAGCATGATAACCATAACGAAAATGAGCAAATGAACCACGAGCATTAGCTTTTGCTGCAATTCTATAATTATTCAAAGAATGCATAGTCGAAATTAAAATACGAATTAAATTACTTTTCAGCAACTTCTTTACCAACTTTAAGCATATGTTTAAGTAAAGGAAGATGAGTATTATTGATCGATTTAAGATTTGCAATATATTCATTAGGCATAACAAGTAAATGAATGCGAGCCTAAAAAATAAATAAAAATAAATATTTAACTTAGCTCAATAAACTTCAGTCTTCAAGAATCCTAAAAAAATTACTCTATTATTTCAAATGTTAACTAGTAAACTATAAGTCATAGGCAAATCTCAGTTTTTCGAATAATTCAATTTCTATTATTTTCAAAAAAAAAAAATAATCAACTTACTTTTGGATATTTATCTTTAATCACAGTACATAATTCATCTTTGTGTACTCGTGCACCTTCATCATCTAGAGCTGTTGATAAACCTGCTGACCAATGATTTCTTTTTGGTTGATTTTCATTAAGATTTTCCGAAGGTAGGTTTCGTTTAATAGCCGTCGATGATGGTAATGAAGAAGCCATTATTTCTAAATCACAGAATACAGAAGAAAACAAATTTCTGCTATTTTTTGTTATTTGTGTAAATATATATAAAGTTTCTGTAATTACATCAATATGGTGTAAGATTAGTCAATTTATTTCACAATTCAATACAGAAAAGAAAAAAAGACAAACAAAAAAAAGCACTTTACCAAATAAACACACACAATAATAATTATAAGGAAAATGCAACGAAAAATGAATATATATTTGAGAAATTTAATTATTATCAAAAAACAAAATTCATATATAATATCTGACATTGATATTTTTTTAAACTGATGTTTCTGAATTAAGTTTTAAAATAAATTTATTTTGTTTTAAATCAAAAAATTTTTCAATTAAATGTATTCGTGGTATTTGATGAAATGTACATATTAATGTAATATGTTCAGCATGTTGTTGTTTAAGTACAAATAATAAATTTGAATATATTGATTGATTAATTGATATTGTTTTTCTTTGATGTTTTTCATTTATATATGATTGTGAATCACATATAATTGTCCATGATTGTTCAATAGTATGTTTTTTTGTTGATAATAATGCAGGAAATAATAATGTTGCTAATGGTTGAAATTCTGTTTGAATATAACGTTCAAGAAATGCTCGAGGTGATAAATTATGTGTTAAACATGTTGATAAATGAGATATAATTGATTCACGTGTAAAATATGGTTGTTGACGAGTTATTCGAAGATATTTTTGTAGTGAACGTGACATTGAAGAAAAAACAGCCTTGCAAAAATATTTATTAATTATACATAGGGCAGTCAAAAAGTTTTGCAACTCAGGACAAATTATTCAATAGAAAGACATTCCATTTCTCTCTCTCTACAGCAAATGTTAGAAGGAGTCATCATGATGTTCGATACCAAGTTTAATTCAATTTGAAATGTCTTTTCGTATTCATCGGAGGATATCAAGTTGAGTCCTTGGTTAAACTTGTTACATGTAGATATTTATCTAGTGTATCTTTAAGGTAACTGAGCAACCCAAAATCTGAAAGAGCAATGTCAGGCGAAAGTAACGAATAAACCATAAGTTCATTATTTCTTCCTTAAGATAATTAATGGCTATAACTTTTATATATAGTTGACATTGTGATAGTGAAACTTACTACCGATGGTTTCTGATGATGACTTTTTGTTTAATAACTTTTTATATAATGGTCTTAAGCATTCATTACGATAGTGGATAGCCTTAATAGATACCCCAGAAGGTGCCTGATCAATAAGTAATCGTTCAGTTGTTATGAAAGAGATGACACATTATGTTTTCTTTTAATAGCAGGTGAATGAGCTCTCTTTCCTTCTGCTATTTACAATTTTGGTTGCTGCTTCCATTCAATCTTGCAAGAATAAATCCACATCTCATCACCCAGTCAGACAAAAATTTCGAAAAACGCGTTTAAACGCGCAATCGGGGACCGCGACTGTGATCCATTCACGCTCATTAAAAAAACGCACGAAAACGCGTCTATTGGCGTTTTTTGTAACTTTCTGGGCGTCAAAACGACGAAAATCCCAGTTTTTGAGCGTTAAAACGTATTGTTCTTAAGTTCTAGAATAATAGTGCGTTTTAACGCTCAAAAATTGGAATTTCCGCCGTTTTGACGCCCAGAAAGTTACACAAATCGCCAATAGACGCGTTTTCGTGCGTTTTTTAATGAGCGTGAATGGATCACAGTCGCGGTTCCCGATTGTGCGTTTAAACGCGTTTTTCGAAATTTTTGTCTGACTGGGCACCAGTGATCATCTAACATAATTACCCATGCATCACTTTTAAGTTTGTCTAACTTTTCAATACTTAAGAAACAAATTTAACTAAAGTAATAACCAAGGACCCAGCTTGATACCCTCCGATGAATACGAAAAGACATTTCAAAATTGAATTGAACTTGGTATCTAACATCATGGTTACTCTTTCTAACATTTACTGTAGAAAGAGAGAAATGGAATGTCTTTCTATTGAATAATTTGTCCTGAGTTGCAGAACTTTTTGACTGCCCCATGTATTATAAAAATAATATTAATTACTTGTGCTGCTTCTCGAACATCCATTGGTACATGTGAACCATATTTTTCACTAAGACATTTTCGAACATGTGTAAATGCATCTTCACATGAACTTAATAATTTTGTACGTCGTTTTCGTACACGACGTTCATAATCAAGTTCATCATAGAATCTTGAAAAATCAAAAAATAGACATCATATTTTTACTAGTATGTATAATATCAAAAGAATAAATAGAATTTTAGTTTTGTCTAGAAAATTTCTATCGATAAATGAGTCATCAATTATCATTCATTCTGTTTCTCGTTCAAAGAAGAGTTCTTAATATAAATTCTTCTTTTCACTCAAACTAATTTTAAATAAAGCTAAAACTTTTTTTTTGAAAAATATTTACCAGGATGTTTTGTCAAAATACTTATTTTTAATTGTATTTTATCAAGGTACCAAAACTATTTTAGAGACAAAATCTCTGAGATATTCTGAAAGATTTCTAATTTTTTTGTTTTAAAGTGTTAGAATCAACTTTGCTTCAAACTATATCAATTGACAAAAAAAAAGAACAGATAAAAATACCTGTAGAGAACATTTATAATCATCAATGGTAAAGTTTGCAACTGAATCATAACAAAGCAAAAGACAGATGACAAGCGGAACAAATTGAAAAGTATATATTTTTCATTACGTTCGATAAGATAAGAGCTTTCATAATAACTACTATCAAGAAAACTTTTTCAAAAATTCCAAAACCTTTGTAATAATGGAAAAGTTAGAGAATCAAACTGCATCTATTAAACATTTGAGGTTTTTATCTCATATGGTCAGCATAAGATCAATATTCTTGGTAGAAAAAAAGAAAGATAAGGAGAGTATGCTTAAATTACTCTAGTCTATCGTATTTGTGATGGCGAAAGGTCTATAAAAGACTAGTAGAGATCGTGCGTTTTGTGAAATTTAAAGTACCATATCGAGATTAAAACAAAAAATAATCATAATACCGATCATTATATCCATGCATTGAACGTCCAAGATCTCTATTTCCATTGACACCAGTAACAACAGTTGATGCATTTGATTGTGATCCAATAGATTTACTTGAAAGTGTTCCATGTTGTCTTGATTGTGTTTGATGTACATTTTCCAACCATGGATTAAATACAGGAAAATCTTTATAATATTGTTCAAGTAAATAAATACTTGCTTCTTGTATTGACATTGAACCTAAATAAAAATAAAATAAAATAAATTTTTTGTTTTTTTTATCAAATATTTACCAATTGTATATTGTCTTGTTTGTCCATCAGGTGATCGTACAACTTTAACAATCCATTTTGGATATAACCATTTAATTTCTAATATAATAACAACTAATAATAATAAAAATAAAAGTAAATCTTCATATGTTGATGTCATTGATATAATTTTTTCATATATTTCAATATTTGGTTGTAATAATTTAAAAATATAATATAACCAATAAGTCAAAATAATTATTATTAATATAATAATAAAAAACATTTCATGTAAATTAATACGTGGTAAATAAATTATATTTCGTCGTCGATATAATAATAATAATGTACCAATAAATATAAATAAAAGTTTAAAACTAATTGTTAATAATAATGTATAATCATTAATAATTATTAAATCAGATTGAATTAATATATATGGTAATATAAGAAATAATATAGGTGATATAAAAGCAATAAGACATAATAAATAAATAATAAAATACCAAATCATAATCGATCGTTTTCTATAATGATTTAGATTTTTAATATATTGATTAGGAATATTTATTTGTAAACTTGTTTCATTATTATTTGTTAATGTATCTTCATTACCACCATTACATGTTATTGTTGTTGTTTCACCCCAATTATCATCTTGTGGAAGAATTTTAACTTCAATACGTTCATCTTGATTATCAATTGATATTATATTATTATTATTATTTTGTTGCTTTTTATGATGATGATGATGATGATGATGACGACGAGATGATGAACGTGTTTCATAATTAATAGTATTCGATGATGAAACTATAGGAGGTACAATTGATTCTGTTGAATGAATTAAAGTAGGAGGTAACGTTGCCGAATTTACTACTCCACCATATGTGTCTGGTTCCATGATCTATAATTATATATATATATATATATATGTATATAGTTCAATTATAATATATAGGTTGGCTCCAGATAGAATAAATTTCATAAAGAGATGATCATGATTAAGTATGTATAACAATCTCATAGATAACAATTTATTACAAGTCTTAAACATCAAACGATATACAAAAAATGATGAATATGACTAAGACAGTCTTATAGTTATTATAACTTCAAACATTATTACCGATTCATTCTATTCAATAAATATCACTGTCTTTTTTTGTTTAAGTTTATCATCGATCATATCAAAGAACATATGTGCTTAATCTATATAGAATTGATTAGTATATACTTACATTAACTATAGTAGAACAGTAATGTTGCTCTTCAATATTGTTACTTTTCTTTACCAGTAACTCATATGCCATTTTTTTTCCAATTGTTGTCATCATTGTCGATCGATGTACAACAACTGTTTATGTTCACTCTTTATCACCGACTGTATATATCCATGAAATTAACCATCTGACATCTCCTTTTTTTTCTGTTCATTGTCTCGGAGCGTTGTCATCTTTTACGCTGTCTCGCTATTTAACCACGCTTTAAACATTTAAAAATGTGTAGATTGTTCTAGTCAATATCAAAAATTCAAAACAAAAAACAAAAAAAATTTTTAACATTTAAGTTCAATTTATTATCATGAATGTTGTCTAGTAGCATCCTAAATTATAAATTTATGCCATTTATATTCAAATGAATCTCAAATTCAAAGCATATATATATATATATATATCGATCAATACTTCTTTTTCATCTGAATAAGAAAAAAAAATGATCAATGAGTTAAAAAGTAAGAAATAAAGAGCTATAGACATTGATTGATTGATCATATACTAAACATATACTTAATGTCTTATCTTATATTAACCATCACACCTATGAATACTTCGATTATGTTTTAATATGAATTATATTTTATCTAGTTCAAAAATTTTTCTTTTTTTCTTTATTTTAATGAGAATTCGAACTGTTTAACTTATAATGACTATCTTTTTCTTTTTGTTTCTATTATACATGCAACATGCATACGTACAGTATAAAGACGTTTGATATTGACACTAGACGTACGACGTTGTTCTTCCATATTTAAATGAAAGTAAAGTAATACAAAGAGAATAAAAGTTTGTCTAATCAAAGTTGAATAGAATAAGAAATGTATCACGTACACACTTTACAGATTTGCGGTTGACCTCTGAGAAAAAAAAAAAAAAGAAAATGCAAGTATTGTTCTTAAATAGAACAGAAAAAACTTGCATAATCAATAAAATGAATTCTTGTAATGTACACCATCAGTCCGATTTTAACGTATAATGGCCCTTGAACAATACCGTTTTATATTCTTATTAGATACACATAGACAAAATGAGCAAGTCTTTACTTGTTGCAGCAATTATCGCGTATCTGTTCACACTCATAGACACACAAGAAAACAAAAGAAAATAAAAAAAAAAAAAAACGAAAGAACGAAAGAGCATTGAACAAACAAAGATGGATAATAGTAACAAAAGAATACATCTCGAAGGATCGATTGTCTAATAAAAAAGAAAACAAACGGAACATATACAGCACTTACTTATTTAGAAATACTGACTGACAGATGATGATGATGATTATGATGATATCGATTGATTCGTATATTAGACAAAGACAAAGAATGAACAACATCGATTGGATAGTATACAAACAGAGACTAGAAGATAAAAATAGATAAAAACATATATTCTTATTGACTTTGTATGCCATCTATAATAAAAAGAAAAAAAAAATGCATGTCAAATGATTAATTTTTCGAGGTTGAAACAAACAAAAAAGAAAATTGTATTGGTAATTTTATTTACCAATTGAATATTATAATCGAAAATTTTATGCATTCATTTTTTTTTTTTTATTATAAATCAATTGAAATGACAATAAGTCGTGCTGCATCATATTTTATTTCGACACCAATCTATTATGTTAATTCTAAACCTCATATAGGTCATCTTTATTCAAGTTTACTTGCTGATACAATTGCACGATGGCAAATAGTAAAACATCGTACAACACCAAGAATCATTCTTTCAACTGGAACTGATGAACATGGTTTAAAAATTGAACGAGCTGCAATAACAGCTCAAATTTCACCTCTAGAATTTTGTAATCAAGTTTCAGGTAAGAGAAAATTGTATGAAAAAAAGAAATTTTCGACCTCTTTTTGTTTCGTTTAGAAAAATTTCGTAAAATGTTTGATCAATTTTCAATTAAATATACAAATTATATTCGAACAACAGATAAAAATCATTGTCAAGCTGTTCAATATGTTTGGCAAGAATTATTAAAACAAAATCTTATTTATAAAGGAAGTTATGAAGGATGGTATTCAGTTCAAGATGAATGTTTCGTTAGCGAAGATGAAGTAAGGATCAGGTTAGTTTTTATTTCAGTTATTAAACAATAAAAAGTTTGTTTTTTTTCCAAAAAAAAAAAATTAGGTTGTAAAAGATGAATCCGGTCAAACAATAATTAAAGAATCAAATCGTCCTGTTGAATGGACAAAAGAAAAAAATTATATGTTTAAATTAAATCAATTCTATGAACGTATTGAACAATGGATACAAGATAAAAATCCATTATATCCTATTAAATATAATAAATTAGCATTGATTCAATTACATGAACTTAAAAAACAAGGTGATATTTCAATTTCACGTGAAGCTAAACGACTTTCATGGGGTATACAAGTAAGTTTAAAATATAATTAATTTAAATATATTATTTATTGAATTAAAATTAGGTACCAAATGATTCATCACAAATAATATATGTGTGGATTGATGCACTTATTAATTATTTAACTGTTATTGGTTATCCTGATCATATTAGTCATTGGCCACCAAATTGTCAAATAATTGGTAAAGAAATACTTCGTTTTCATGCTATTTATTGGCCAGCATTACTTATGGGACTTAATCTTGAATTACCACAACAATTAGTTGTTCATGGACATTGGTTAAAAGATGATAAAAAAATGTCAAAAAGTGTTGGTAAATAGTTTATTTTGTTTTTGTTTTCGTATTTATAAATCATATATATATATATATATATAGGTAATGTTATTGATCCATTTGATTTATTATCTAAACTTCAATGTGATGGTGTTCGATATTGTTTATTACGTGAAGATATTCTTTCACAAGATGCTAATTTTAATGAATATAAAATGAAAAAATATTTAAATGCTGAATTAGCAAATACACTTGGCAATCTACTTAATCGTGTAACATCATTATCAATAAATCCTTCATGCATTTATCCATCACGTCCTTCATCAATGTTTTCATCATCATCAACAACGGACATTATTAATCAATGTATAAATCTCCCATTACGTGTTAAAACAGCATATGATTCATATGAATTTTATCATGGTATTATTGCAATTATGGATGTCCTTCGTGCATGTAATACTTATGTTCAACATGAACAACCTTGGTTATTAGCTAAATCAACGTTAGAATATGATCAACAACGTTTACAAATATTAATTTATTTAACACTTGAATGTTTACGTATTTGTGGTATACTTTTACAACCAATTGTTCCATCAATTAGTAAACAGTTACTTGATATACTTGACATTGATTTAAATAAACGTACATTACATGATTGTCATATTCTAATTGAACACAATGAGAAAAAATTAAATATAATGAAGAACGAACGTATATCATTGTATCAACGTTTATCAATTGTTGAAAATGATGTGTAATAAATAAATTCATATCTTGTGACAATCTTTTTCTTTTCTTTTCTTTTCTTTTTTTCTCATCAATGATGAATCAAGTTATACATACGAAAAATTAGTTCTATGGTCTTGAATTGTGCATACGTTAATATTTGAAAAAAAAGAAAGAAAAGTGATAATTTGTTTCTTGTATTCAAAGTCCTATAATGTGCAATTTAAATGCATATGTGCATTAAAGTGTGACCAAATTGAAACGAAAAAAGAAAAAAAGAGAAAAAAAAAATCGACGATAAAAATACAAAACATATAAACTACGAGATGAACAGAGCCATTATAAACAAGGTGATTCTTTTTCTAATTCTTCTTGACATTATTTGTCATTGAGATAACGACAACGCCAAGGTGAGATATGATGTTCGATATTTGTTGGTAAATTGAATACGCGAACAAGTAATAATTATATTTATTATGGGTATTGGCTTATCTCGGCGAGATAATGTCTTTGATTCTAGTAAATTGGTTTCATTTTTAGTTATACGATTGATAAATTTATTGTTTTTCTTTTTTTTTTTTTGTTCTTTTGTATAGAATCATCGATCACTGTCCATGGTCGTGAGTATCATATATTAGATGCAATTGGTCAAGGTGGCGAAGCAACTGTATATCGATGCCAAGATAAAAAAGGTTCGCAACATGCTGTTAAAATGTTTTGTTTTTCACGGTATCCACAAGTTCAAATACGTCAACGAGTTGATGGATTTATGAAAGAGGCACGTATTTTGCAATATTTAAGTGGACGTTCACCACATTTTGTTGATTTCGTTGATTTTGAATATCGACCTAAAGAAAATATTGGCTATATGATTATGGAATTGGGTCGAGGAAATTTAAGACAATTTTTGCAAGGAATGCCATTAAATGAACCACTTCGACGAATGATTTGGCAACAGATTGTCAACATTTTGGTGGCTCTTCAAAGTGCTAGAATTGGTAATTCAACAAAAAAAGAAATAAAGAAAGATTTTAATATTAATGAATATTTCTTTTATTTTTATCTTTATTTACAGTACATGCTGATATCAAACCTGAAAATTTAATTCTAGTAGATAATACTCTCAAAATAACTGATCTAAGTCTTGCTTTTCCATCAACTGCAATGGGACAAGCTTTTCGACAGCCAATGATTCGTGGCACTCTAGGTATATGCATTTGAAGATTAAATTATCAGAAAAAAAAAATGTATATTTTTATGTGATCTGTTCATCATAGATTACATGGCACCTGAAGTTTTTTTGCATGAAACAAGCTTAGAATCGGATATATGGTCAGCAGGTGTTATTCTCTATGAAATGACTTATGGACGTCCTCCATATTTTGGTATTTTTGATCGGCATCAAAAAATGGACGCCATTGCAAGAATGACACCTATATCATATCCTCCATTGAACGATCATTATTTATTTGATTTGATACAGCAATGTCTTACTTTGGATGCTAGTTTGAGACCGAATGCATTCGATTTACTAAAGCATCCATATACAAACATATAATATAAAGGATAATTTTCTTGTTTCTTTTTTCTTTTTGCTTTTTAAATATGTGAAATAATCTTCTTCAATGTAAGAAGATATATTGTTACACATATTTATATATAGATTTATTTTTCTCTTTTAATCTTATATGAAACACTTTGTTTTTATCGTTTTCAGTTGTCATTACTAAACAGTTATGTTATTATTATATGTCTATCTTTTATTGAAATATTGTCTTTCTTAAATATAATGATTTAATGTAATTCATTCTTTATTATGTCTAAATCATTGAAAACAAGGATTTGTTATTGTTCTTGTTTAGGCTCAGATTTGTCCTCTAATCTATAAATAAAAGAGCTGTTTAGCGTGTTTTTTTGGTTTGTAGACGTATATTTTTCTTTAGTGTCTTTCATTTATCCTTGACACCCTCAGGCAAATTTATCTGTTTATATCAGTTCCTTTTCAGTTATTTTTGATATAGATTGAAGCTATAAATTACTCATATAATATGTAAGATAGAATTTATCTTTTTTTTATTCGATAAAGTCTCATATGCCATAGGAATTTTCCATTATTTTCAAATTTTCTAGAATAATATGTCACAATATAAAAGTACTTGAAAAGATTAATTTTTTGTGAGAATAAACTGCATGTAAGTTATGATAGTCATGATATAATCCAATAGTCTAGTGAGTGATTATTTGTTTCAGAATATATAAATAAATAATTTTAAGGCATATTATAAAAAATTAATTTTATTATGACGAACAAACATGAAAATATATATTAAACCATTGAGATTATATCAGAAGAAATTGATAATTTTTTTTTAAAAATAAAGATAGTTAGAAAGACATTCATATAATATAATATATTGTCGACAAAAGAATTTCGAATATTTCAACTAATAACAAGAAAAAATTCAAACGTACCACTATTATTATTATAATTGAAGGCTGTTTGTATCAGTCCATTATTATAAGATAACTTTCATCAGAACTGGAAAAATATGAGTTTTCTCGAGTACGACAAATATAGTACTTGAGTATTCATACTTGAGTACGAGTACATACTCATACTTGCCAAGCTTTGCTTTTCATCAGGTGATCAAGTTAAACTTTCAAATACAAACATATTTTTGCTATGGTTTATTAAGATTATTAAATGAAATGTATTGTGTATAGTGTTTCATTTATAATTCAATATAATTCATTAATTATCTATTCAAATAAAGAATCTATTTCAAAAAAAAAAAAGTAAAAGATAACTTCGCATAAAACTTGTACCATATAATATATATATTACTCATTCTAGATTTTGAATCAATCTTGTTTAATAAAATGTCATAAACAAGTGCATTTTCTCGTTTTGAAAATGCTAATCAATTTCGTTCCGATGATAGGTCAACTACATCGGATCAAATTAATTTAGAAACAATTTTTGCTTTTTCAATTTTGTAAATATTAAATTTTCATATTATCATATTATCATTTTTTTGTTTTTGAATTATTCTTTATGTTTTCTTTGAATAACCAAGAGTTCAAACACATCTAAAAAAAAATATTTATACTTGTTTATTAATTATTACAATATGTGTAGCATTAGGTGTTTATTTATCAATGACAGACGGACTTCATTATCCTCGTTTAGCTGTATTTGCATCAATAATAACAAGTATTTAGTTTTTTACAATTGATTTTAATGCTCGTACACAAATAAAATATTTTGGATCAATGTCAGCAACAGTTTTATTGGTATTTATTTAAGGCCATTAATTAATTTAGTTATTAATGTCGATCCACAAATTGTTATAATAGTATTTTTTATTGACAGCAACTATTTTTATTTGTTTTATACGTAGTGCATTACTCACACAAAAACGAATATATTTATATTTAAAAGGTAAGAAAACGCAAAGTGAAAATATTAAAATAAGATTTGTTTGTTTGTTTTTTCTATAAATTTAGGTTTACTTGGTACAGATACATCGATTATGCTTTTACTTAGTTTAATGAGTTTGTTTAGACAATCACAACCTATTTTTGAGTGTAAATATAAAAACAAAAAGGTTATTTACTATAGAAAATATCTTGTTTTTGTTAATTTAGGTTAATCTTTATCTTGATCTATCTATTGTATGTGATTATATTTTATATGATACTCAATTGATTGTTGAATGAGCTGTTTAAGGTGATATGAATTATGTTGAGTAAGTGAAAACAAATAGAAACTAATATCTGTGATTTGATTTTCGAAAAATAATAGTTTATTATCATATAGATAAGTTTTGAAAGACATTTTTTTTTTCGTTCTTTGAACATAACAAGAAAATAGATTTTGTTTTTCTATTATTTCATTATATATTTTTAGACATGCAATTCTTCTATTTATCGATATGGTTGACTTGTTTGTTCGTATTCTCATAATGTTACTTAGCAATGTATGTATTTATTATTTAGACTCAAAGTATTTTTCTGTTATCTATATACATTTATCTATTTTTTTTTATATAGGTGCGAAATAAAAATAAGAAAAGCAACGATCATTAAAAAAAAGTCTTCGATTTATCAACAAACATAGTTGCTTGAATGGAGTACACAAAAAAACAAACATATAAGCATCGTTTTTTTTCCTTTCTTTCTTTCTTTCTCTCTCTTATCGATTGTACGTCATACTTGATGTGAATTAGTAACTTTCTTCAAAACAATCATCTTGTCTATTTAATCAGTTATGATGATATATGGGTTGTTATTTAGTGATGCATATGTCCGTTTTTGAAACGTGAGAAAAATAAATTCTTACAGAACACAGATCATAATTATATACTATTCAACTAAAGAGAAAAAAAAAAGAGGAAGAAAGGACTAGTATTAGAATTGCTTGTTTTTCATTTATTTTTTTTGCTGTCGCATTGGGACAATTCTGATCACTATGAAAAAACAAGAAATATCACATTAATCAATATTTTTTAATGACGAGAAAAGCAACAACTAATGGTAATGTCAAAGTACAAGATAATATTTTAGATTAGTGAGCTTCTGCTTTTTTAATGTGTTTTTAAACAACAACACAGAAATGGTATATCGAAAGTAATGAAGGAAAAAATAAAATAAAATTACGTAAAAGTTTATGATTGTAGAATTATTCATCTAATTACAAAAAGATAAACTGTGCTATTGACTAATCAAATATATTTTTAGTTCAAAATATAAAAGAAAAAAGGAATTTAATACTACATATTATCGCATGTCTTGTCAATATGAACGATAAGAAGATCGAATTACAACATATTCCTATCAAAATAGGTTTTATTCAATAGTAGTTATAAGCCAAAAAAAATAAGAACAACTGGTTATATCGTTGTTAATTTTTTTTTTCTCTCTAAAGGAACCTATTCTTTCAAAAAATAGAGCAAAAAAACAAGATAACATCTGTTTCAATTTCTAATTGTAATTGACTTTATATTCGCTAGACATAATGAAATTTTTTACGCTTATTATTACTTTATATATATAGGAAAAAAATTGTCACTAATCAATATTAGTCTAATTAGATTTCTATGATTAGACTTGTATTTCTTCGGTTTTTGTCTAAACGAGTTTAAATATCAATAGAATCTTTTTTTTATAGTAAATTGGATCGTATCTTTGATTATGCCAACAGGAAATAGAACATATTATTTGAATTGAATAGTGAATATGACATTATTATATTGTTTCCTATTCTATTGAAAGAGAAAAAAAAAATCACAGAGAAAGACATGTCTGCACATATAGCATCATAATCACTGAGCTTGCTGCAGTCTGTTACCAATCGTAAAATAGATAGGAAAGAAAACGGCAAGACGAAGAAAAAAAAACAGTCGAAGGAAAGAAAATATACACGTCTGCATTCTATCAAAATTTGATCTCGAATGACTGCAAGCATTCACTCATCAATTAACATGAACAGTTGTCTTGCTTCACTTTTTTTTTCACATTTATAATTTATCACTTTAGCATTGTGTGTTAACATGCTTGAATATGTACACATGTATTATGTCATGCGTTACTACACTCATGAATAATTATTATATTCTTATTACTAGGTAAATACTCAGGTTTTTTTTTTTATTTCAGTATATTATTACACATTTTTACTTATAAGCAAAGCGTGCAAGTCTAACTTGCTATTTGTAAGCTTTGCATCAACGTTGGTACAGCATTATATTCAGAAGATCATTATCAGCATGTAAGTTGTGTATTTCTTACTCAAGGTCATTCCCAATGTATTCACATTATTTTTTTTTCTCCGAAACATATGAATTAACATAATAGAACAAAGAAAGTTCTGTTAAGTAAGCAATTAATCATAATCAAAATTAAAGGAACAATTATAGAATGTTCAATATCGATCGACTAATTCTTTCTTGATCAAGAGAAAAAAAATTCTTATTTTTTCTTTGCTGTACATTTTGTCTGACATTGCCATATAACGAGCAATTATACTATGATTATATAACCATAAAAAAATGCGATGAATATACATCTCTATGATTCATACTGCGAAAAAATATCAAGATGATTTTTTTTGTTTG